AATATATTTTTTTTTCGGAAATTGAGATTGAACATGAAAATCTCTCGTTAATGGCCACTAATACTATTTTATTTTTTATACTACGGTATAAATAATGAATCATTATTGTSCACGTAATTGCTGTAAACAATGTCTCTATGTTTTTTCTTCAATTGTATCGAAATTTAAAACTAAATTGTAATATGATATTATGTAATAACAATAATATTTTTGCATAAAGGCTATGATTTATTGTTCACCACAGTTAATGATTCCGAAATGTTACCGTTTGACGTTTGAATATGAGACGTCGACGATTTGATTGTTGATGTTTGCAATTTAATAGACGTTTCTGGGTTGTTAGATTGATAGCTGGTTCTGTGATTACTTGGTACTTCAGATGGAAATCTCAAATTTTCTAACAAAAGTCAAACAACCATATGCATTAAAATAGCGTACAAAACATGATACAGCATAATAGGAGTTACGTGTTCAGTTAATTTAAATATTTTGACGGTTTAAAATGTAATGACTATAGGTTAAACATAATGTGATTAGATTTATATATTATTAGCGTTTAAATTAAAACATAATAATATTATAAGTGTCAGGTGACATTTTTATGTTAGTGTCTACATCTACAATAATAAATATAAATTTATTTTTGTTGAAATATGGAAATTGAAGAAACGTCGGTACACTATCAGTATAATAAACCCACAAATTGGTGAATTTTAAATTATAAATACGATAAAATTGAGCATTAAAATGTCAACCTAAATATGTATATTTAAAAAACATGACTTTCAAAGATCTTATTATTTCTCATTGGAATGATTACAATGTACATGCTAGTCATCTACCTTTATTAAATATSATTTTGGCTGTTCAATGCATAGGTTGTATAAATTAATTATCATAATTAATTTAAAAATAAATTAATACTAGATGGGAAACCTCAAAATGCCTAATTTTAATATCAAATGTTCAAGTGAYTTAACTTATGCTATAGACTCTTATTGAAACTTCATAATAATGAATATAAAATGAAATTTAGTGCAATATATAAGATAAGTTTCCAATTATTACGATACCATGATGAGTAAGTCAGAATTATCTAAGTAATTTTCAAAATACAAATATTATACATCGTAAATAAAATAAATGAGTTTCAAATTGTATCTTATTTTTAATTATCTATGAACAGTTATTAATCCATTTTAATTATTTAATACTTAATTGATAATATTAATAATATTATAATATTAAGCAAGTATTGTGCTAAATTTTCCCCTAACTCGTATATAAACAATTATGCGTAACACTAACACTACGTCATACATTATACTATTTTAAGTTGAATGTCAACACTTATATAGATTGCAAAACTCAGTTACTGAGGAATTCAATACTATAGTAAATAATATAAAGAGTGCTTGGCGCTTGCACAATTTCCATACGATATGTCAGCATCCTAACAATGTCATGAAACTTACACATGCACATGAATATGTTACTAACGCAATTTCCATGACTAACATTTTGTTTTTCGCAAAAGTAACTATATTTCATTGTACTTATTGATAATTTATTCCTAAAGTAATATCCTAAAATCRTTTTTTGTACATATGCAATGAATATAATAATATTATCATTTAATTAAAGCAAGGCTGGGCATTAACGCGTTAATAAGTTAAAGTTAAGTTAATTTAACTTTTTAACTTAATAAGTTATTTTTTTTTATGTTTACTAACTTAATTAATAACTTTAGGAGTTTTTGAATTAACTTTTAATTAACTTGAGTTAATTTTACATTTAAACAAGTTAAGTTAATTTAATTTAATTTTGTGAACTAYTGTAGGAATACAAATTGCTGGTAGGTACACATTTTATAAGGTTATAAGTATATGCTAACAAAATGTGTACTGTTAGCTTTTGCACACATAAAATAGTAATAGTTCTTTGRTCTAATAACATGAAAMATTTTAGGTACCGATTATTTTAATTTTACCTATAAACTTTTTTTAACTTAACTTGAGTTAAAAAGTTAATATTAAATTTTGGTTAACTCTTAACTTAATTCAATTGATGGAATATTTTGAATTAACTTTTAACAATTAACTTGATTTAGATTTTAATTTAACTTAACTTAACTGAGTTAAAAAAAATCATTAACTTGCCCAGCCTTGAATTAAAGTATCACATAGCTCACAATAACTTACTAAACAATAARGGACACTCAACATCTACAACTTCTAAAGAAAAACGTTAAACTATTTCCTGCTTATGTCCTTAATTAAAAAAAATAATATACAATGTTCTAAATTTATTCAATTTTATGATCTTAAAATCAATTTATTATAATGATGGTTGAATTTTAAAATTAAAAAAGTGTAGATTTTGATTYAATGTATAAATTTAATGTTAAAAACTCAGATCGATTTTCAGAAAGTTTTATCGCTTTAATAGTTATATTAGTTTGATGAGAACCTACTTTTAATTACGAAATRATATCAGTTTGTCAAATGTAGTCGGTTGTGATTACTGATTTGTATGAAAAAGATGGTATTTTCAACTATCTACTCCGAAAAAAAAATTTTTGAAAGGAACAAAATATCATCACATTAACAAAAAATCAAATATTAATTGCCGTTATTTAATCAACTTGTTACGATTTTATTTATATGAAATGATCACTGGCATGCATTAGCTAATTTTTGTGTAAATAATATATTAATGATATAGAAAAAGATATTTTTATTCGATTGGAATAATATATATCATATTAATAATATTACATAGCATAATATAAGTCTAAGTTTTTACTAGGTATAGGTATGCAAGACTATCATAAATGTTATTTTCCGAGCAATATTATTTCGTTAAGAACATTTATATATCAATGACAGTATAATATATATGTACATTATATATTTATAAAAATAAATARATTAAAATTAGCGCTGTACATTTTACAGAATTTATTATTTCTTATATTTTGTACCTGTATATTCGTGATTAGCGCTATTAGCAAAAACGTATTCATCGCTAGCTCTCTGTAATGCCATAACCAATTTTTCAGCGTTGGGCGTTTGAGTGTTATTAGCAATGTGTGGGTTCCAAACAAAAATATAATAAGCAGACAACATGGTCGCCACAGTAGACACGGACATTAAGTATGCGATTACAGTCAAAATTCGAATAATTTTTATCTGAAAAAAAAATTAAAAATTAATTAATTWAATAAAATTAATATTGGTAAAAAACGATCAAATATTATGAATGCATGAAAAATGATTTAATAAATGTTTACTAAAATTATTATTGTAATAACATTTTGATGAACTACTTTGTTATAAGCAGTTGATTAAATTAAAAATTGTCAATATAGGTACTTATCAAATATAATAGGTACATTTTAATTTAAAACAGTCTTTCATGAATTATTATTGTCTTACATTATTTACGTTACATTTTTGGAACACGTTTTGACATTTATAATAAACAAAAAAATACCCATATTTTAATCTTTTTAAATTTTTTACTTCATTAGAAATTTTAAATAAAAACTTGSCTAACCTAAGCTTACCTAAATCAAAAAATTTATTCGTAACAAAATATAAAACTTTCATTTCTGGTCGTGTTTACCAATCTATTAATACATTTTGTAATAATTATTGTATGCATACTTTTTTTTCTTTTTTCTGTGCTAAAATTCTTTGTTTTGTCACATCTTCCTGCATTCCTATATCTCCATCACCTTGATCGTTATTCATCATAACTTCTGAATTAATTCACGATTAAATATTAATATCAATTAAACCAATTCAATTCAATTTAGTCTACAAATGTATGTGGTTGTGTGAAATCATTTACAATACACAATAAATATTGACAAACTGAAAAACAGAGTATTGTTTAAAAAATTATTGATACACGTTCGAGAATTAACCTCGTTGACCAATACTAAGTCTCAACTATCAAATAAGGTTTAAAAAAAAAGTAATAACCACCGTCCATCCATGTATTATGGGATTTAAAGCGCATGACCCTTACATAATAGTTGAAGCCATTATTAGTAAGCTAGTTAATGTAATCATAGCGGATTGTCTACCACACCGGGCGAATAACTTAGTCACGATTCCACCAACATGAACGTTATATTAAATTATAACCTTCCATAAAATAAAAATAAAATATGATATGTATAGTACATATTACATAAATTATTAATCATTGAAAAAGTATACATTTATCAAATTAAAAAAAGAAGTAGGTACCTAGTTTCGTTAAAAAATAAAATAAAATTTGAAAACAATAAATGTACCTACCTACTCTTAATTGGCATGTGACKTAATAAGTTTTTTGTATCATATTTTCCAATGAACATTTTACTCAACATTTAATTTAATTTAACACTTGTATACAGTACATAATTTGGTTTTGATAAATATATGACATATTATGTATACTAAAAATAATTTATACATTCATGTCAAAAGTAAACTTTTTTAATTGAGCACCATGAGATCAAAATTCATAAAATTAATGTAAAAACCTAAAAATGAAAATTAGCTACAAGTTAGTGATTTGTTTCCCAAATTCCTGATCCAAAGATTATATCACATATTTTTATTCGAATAATACTATACAATTATGAACATACCAATAAATAATCTTGAATTCAAACGTATTTCGCCTCTGCGTGGTATATTAAAGTGCTTTTAGAGAGTGCATAAACTTTAAATCAATAAGTCATATACCTAATCATATGGCTTTTTTTTATAAATAAAATKTTATTGAATTACTTTAAAATAAAATTTAATTTTTACTTACACATGTAAAATATAGCCAAAATGTACAAGTTATATAAGTTTCCTAAGTATATTACTCCTTAAAACATGATAGTTAGCCACCTTAAACGTCCACGTATTCCGTAATTACACAACATTATTAGGTACAATCGTAACATAATATCATTATTATTATTKTATTACGTGTGGTTTCATTACTTAGGTACTACCTATGTTATGTAGTTTTAGTGACGTGATCGTTGGGCGTATCGACCACATATTATAACAATAATTGCATATTATTTATGATTATTGTACTAATAAGTATCAGTTATTTCATATTTCATAGTTTATCGTGCAGCAGAGAAGGGTAAAAGTAAGTCAACTCAAATTCTATCCTCTCTAAACGTCTAAACAATCTAAATAGGTAATATAATATTGTTGTTTTCATTACCCCGTTTTTACAWATTATTTAATCAATTCGATAAACTCAGTAACAACTTTATTAGATATTTGTAAAATTTAACACAATTAATGATTAAATTAGTATTCTTTATGATTATGTACTATAATTTTCAAAAATTTTCTGTTATTTTTGTATAATTATAGGCATTTTACAAGGTCGATTTAATTTAGTTTTTTGTTTTCAAATAAATTCAATTAGATATTTATTTATGAATTTGAACCCCAAAGTAATAAGTAAAATAAAATAGGTTATGGCAATATAAAACAAATATAAAAGTCATAAAAGTACGATTTTTTTAAAATCATTTTAATTTAATAATTACAAAATCTGATCGAAATTCGAAAGTTTTAAAATTATATTGTAGGTAAAAATGTATAAGATGTTCTATAATATCTGTAGCTATGGTTTTAAAATTTAAAAAAAGATTCTTCATAAGTATTCCATAATATTATATAACCAAAAAATCTAAAAAAGTTATAGACAAAGTTTTTTTTTTTAAATGGATAGTAGAAAAATAGATATTTAGACGAATATTGATCTTAGTTAGCATTACAATTAATGCAACTTACTAATATATTTAATATTATATCATAGGTACTTACGCTAACAGACCATCTTCGCTCAGAATTTTTTTTCGTATACAATGATTTTATATGCGATTGAATTAAAATTTAACCCATCTGTTACAGCTAYCCCTCTAAACATCTACTGTACATAGATGTATTTCAATTATAAAAATGTATAGTTTTTAAACTTTCAGCAAGTAATTTAATAATATAATTGTTTTAATTAATGTCTCAATTTCTTAAAAATTTAAATTTAAATGTTGTGTTAWGTATAGCCATATTGGAGTATTATAACTACCTAGACATTTTTTTTAAGTACTGAAAATATTTACGAAAATTGGTTCATGAATTT